ACATGCAGTCAAATGTGACTCTCAACAAAACTAGCCAGGGATGCGTTTCCCGAAAGCATCGTTAGCCAACTATGGTCGCAAGTTCCGTCGTTATCAGCATAGTTCAACGAGTCGGTGTTTCCCGAAACCATCGTTCCAACGACATTCGCAAACAGCATCGCAAAGTTGCGTGGTTTGAACGACAGCTCTCGACCTGTGGTTAGAGGCATAGTTTCTATATTGCATGACATTTGGACGTAATAAATCCTTATCTTGAGCAAAACAAGCAAGCTGACATTCAGTACCGGTGCCTTTTATTTAGAATACATATAAATGGAATTTACGTCTTTTAGTTTGTCAAAAGATTTGAAGTACCGTGTTTGAAGAGTGCGCATGTGCGAACGTGCTCTACTATGTAAGAACAAGCCAAATTTTGAGTCTGGTAATAAAGCAAAACAACTGAGAACAATTACAAATAGTCCTCAGATGACATGTCTGTAATTTATATAAAACAAATCTACCGTTAATTGGGTCTTAAACAGTTTCATTAACAGTAGTTATTACTCCACCATGTGCGAAACCAACGTGGTTGAACGATACTTTGCGACAATGGGTTTCAGGAAACAGTCGTGACTAGCTAGTTGATTTTTCCAACGATGCATCGTACTATGGTAGTGAAACAGTTAACTACGTCGTTGTACGGGAAACGCTCCCCAGTTCAGATATTTCATGTGTTCTAGCTCAAGCACACCTGGTGCAACTAATGAAGCCCTTGATTAAGGAGACAACACCTGTTGTGCAGATTTGTGGGATTCTTTTCAGGGGGTTGAATAATTTTGAGACTGCACTAGTCAAATGTTGTTGTGTTAAGCTGTTTAACTTAATTTTCGATTTGTTCATTGCAAACAAGTGAAAGTCTGTGTAATAAAACAAAATATGTATTTTTTTATGTTTTATTTTAATTGTTTTTATTTTTTGCAGTTTTATGCATATCGACTCATAAACAATGCAAGATTAAGTGAATGCAGTTTGTTATAATTCAAGTGTTTGATATAATTATTAAAACAGGGCTTTGGCACTCAACGAGAACAGCCTCGATGTATGTCCAGATCACACACTGCCAGACCTACCAGTGAGTTCAGCTCTCACATCCAATTGTAACAGACAGCAACTTTACATGATGATGAATACAATGTGGAAACATCACAAAAAACAAAACAAAGCCACATTATGTAATTGTTGATGATGACACCTGTATGAATTCCTATCCCAGTTTAAAAAAATATATTTGTGAAGTAGCTGCTGACTTATGTTCAAGAATAATCTGAACAAACAACGTCATCATAACAAAGATCCAAAGATATGTCAAGATTTGCTAATCAAAGTATTCAAATAAAATTTAAAGCATCACAAATAAAATCAAAATAAAATAGATCAATACATTGCGATTTGAGAAGTGTGCACTAACATTTTCAGTTCTATTAATTTGAACGTTGTCTCAAGGACATGCCTACAATAGGATACATTTCGTGAATATTTATGATTACTCCACCTACTGGAACAGTATTTGACAGGGACTGAATATTACACTTGTACAAACACTTGTGAAAGACTGAAACTACTGCTGACAGGCTGCTGCTCAAGGAAATATTTTGCATTCAAAGTTTTCTTACAAGACTTGCAATATTTATATTTACATGCGAGAAGAGAACAAGATGATCAAGTTATTTGTTTTTATGTGGGTGCTTTCAATTCCAGCATCTGTATCAACAGGTAGGGGAAAGATTTTGGATTTACCGAAAAGCAAAATAGATTTTAGTTCATCTTCACAGTTTGGATCTCAGTTGTTAGCTGTCATTGTTTTGTTTTGGTTGAGGAAATTAGACTGATTGTTATGTGATTTATTACATTATAGTCCATTTTAATAATAATCATATTAAATATTTCAGATTCTCATTCTTTCTGGGTCCTTATAACACACATTAAAGGAAACACTCCATTTCCTGAAATCATTGGCACACTAATGTTGGATGACATGACAGTAGGATACTTTGATTCAGAGACAAAGACTTACTTTACAAGAGGAAATACTACAAATGAAGATGATTTGTATAATCTGGGTGATAATAATGCTGTAGGAGAACGTTTCTATACGTATCTTTTGTATAAATCAAGTCACGGAAATAATACAGATAGTAAGTTAATTTCATTTACTTATTTTCTTTAAAAGACTGGACGATTGAGACTTTTTTGACATCTTCATTCACTTTTTCTGTCCTAAAAGGTCTTAGAGTTTATCAATATTTAGGTATTTGTGAACTGTTGGACAAAGACAAACCAGGACAATTTATCTTCAAGAATGCATTTAATGGCTCTACTGAAGATGAAATGAGATATTTTGATGGCAAGTTTACATATAAAGGTCCTTTAAAAAATAGAGAGGATGACAATAACCCCTTACTGCAAGTGTTTCTGTGGTATCAAGAGGTTTTTTCCTACCCGAACTGCCTAAACACTCTCAGATCTTACCTTAAAAAAAGAGGAGCTCAAATAAAGAGGAAAGGTAAGTCTCCAACATGCTTGAAATATAGAAATGAGCTAATTCCTTTTAACAAATACATTCTAGTCAATGGTGTTATAAAAAGATAGGCCTGCATTTTTCCTATCTTAAACAGTGAAACCGCTAACACAGTCTCATCCCAAAAAGTCATATAACTGACGTCTTGGGACGTTTTTTGACCGTACGTCAATATCCGCCTTTTTAGGGCCCCCTTAAACGTTGGTAGATGGCGATCCCGGGCCGTCATACAACTGACGCTTTACCTTTAACGTCAGTTAGGTGACTGGTTAGGTTTAGGGTTAAGTTTAGGTCTGGGGTAGAGTTAGGATCCCATAACCTCATCTACCGACGTTTAAGGGGGCCCTAAAAAGGCGAATATTGACGTATGGTCAAAAGACGTCCCAAAACGTCAGTTATATGACGTCTTGGGATGAGACCGGGTTGAAACCGCGAGTCAGACTGATTCAGAAAACAAACTCAGATTCTGGAGGGTTTCGTGTGAGTTGTTTGGCAAAAGGATTTTACCCTCGTCACATCAACCTGACCCTGTTCAGAGATGGACAGCCTGTACCTGATCATGAGATCACTGGAGGAGATCTGCTGCCCAATGGTGACGGGACGTACCAGATGAGGAAGAGTCTGGAGATCAGTGCAGACAAACACAGATACAGCTGCTCTGCCACACACCTCAGTCTGGACAACAAACTGGACATTGAGTTGGGTAAGGACTTTAGATCATTTCAGTTCATTTCGGTCCTTAAACTTGATTGACTTTGGTTGTGTCTGGAACCATTTAATTCAACAGATAGTTACTTAGTATCAACTTATCACTGAAGTGTTCTTCAAAAGCAATATCAAACTAATAAAAGAATGTCTTCTTGAATTGTCACACTTCAGAGTATCCAGGGGGAACAATACAGCAGGTGATTTCCTCAGTGCTTGTGGTTTTAGTATTGGCGTTTGTGTTTTTGACTGTGGTTGCCATTATTATATGGAGGAGAAGACGCCATTCAGGTAATACATGACATATCCTAGATCAAACACGTTAGATTGCAAAGTCTATACATATTAATTAATCAACAAAACTGTTCTGTAGGTCTGTTTTTATATTATTGATTTTCTTAATTTATTATGTTCTTTGCAGCTTCCTATACATGTGACTACTCCTCTGCTTCTTGTGAGTATTTTATGTATATTTTTATGAATTCTGCAAACATTTGAGCTTTTTCACGTCCATTTTTGTTTTTGTTTTTTCATACAGTGTAATATGACTTAATAATTTGTATCAAGAATAACAATAATTTTGATTAATTGGAATGTTTTCTAATGAATATTGAAATTTTAACTTAATTTTTAGCAACTGAAGACAACATGGATAAAACATGAAAACATGGCAATAAAAGAAAGTAGATTATAATGCAGTTTATCAATGAAATTAAATGGCGTAGATCCCATAATAGCATCACATGTATTTCATTGTCATTATACAGTGTATTTCAGTTTGTTTTTATGTACTTCCTGTTGTATAAAGTAAACTGATCTGTGCTTTTTTCATTACATGGATTGTAATTAACAAGCTCAAATGAGTCGGATTTAGTGATGGTAAAATGTATAATTGCATTACTAGTGAGAAAAGAATGTCTTGATGTGCAATTTGCCATGATTGTTTGCATCACACATAAATATCGACATTTTAAACAGAGAAACAGCCATTTTCTTCAAGAAACACAGTAACAAGTCACTGCATGCTATGTTCATACTAAATATATAAGGTATATAAGTAAATATATGTTTTTCAGGAGTCTACTGAATTACACATCATGTAGTTTCTCAAATATTCTCACGTTCAGAGTCATAATGATTAACTGAAGCGACAGCATCTTGTTTTGACCTGTGTGTTAAAAGTTTATTCAATCTTACATAACTCAAATGTTCACTGATATAATTTTACAGGAAATAAAATGTACTTTGTTACCTGACTCATGTCAATGTTGCTTTAGTGAACAACATTTTCCTGATGGTTCATTAGTCTGAGAACAATATTGTTTTGGGTTTCTGTATAGGTTTGCAGTTCCAAATATCTGCTGTAACATGCTTGATTTCAGAGGATTTGGTTTCAAAACAGTTTTTGTAATTCATACCCACTGCACTGAATGTTTATTAGTGTTTAGTTGTTACTGCGGAATCCTTAAAGGAGTAGTTCACTTTTAAAAACTTTTGCTGATAATTTACTCACCCCCATGTCATCCAAGATACCCATGTCTTTCTTTCTTCAGTCAATAAGAAATTTTGTTTAGAATGAACAAATCTTTTTCCGAGTCGTTTGGTTCATTCAAAGAACAAAACGAATGAACTGACTCTGAAAAGATTCGTTCATTTTGATGATCAAGTTTGAATAGGAGAGTCACGAACGCGCATCACAGTTCAGAGCAAGGCGACCATTTGAGCTTATAAAACTTAAACTTTGTTATTTATTTATTAAATGAGCGATACTTTCGCTTGATAAGAGCCTTATTCATTGTCTTGAATCGTTTAAAGCGCTTTGAACAGTTTGCAGTTTGTACTGAAAGTGTCTTTTGGACCTTGAATTGTTTGGTTTCCACTGAAGTCCATTATATGGAGAAAAATCCTGGAATGTTTTCATCAAAAACCTTAATTTCTTTTCAACTGAAGAAAGAAAGACATGGACATCTTGGATGACACATGGGGGTGAGTAAATTATCAGCAAAGGTTTTTCTAAAAGTGAACTTGGCAAGGTGAAAAATGTTCAACACATAACCGTTTACAGGCTACACTAGTTATTATTAACTGTAGGCAGCAGCATTGTTTGACTGGCATTTACTAGAGGTGTACAAGTTTCACTGGTTACCTGCTATTGGTTCACATCATTTTCAAAAGAGAGTTTGAATTAAATAAACTTTCATGCATGTGATAGTATGTGCAGTTGGGACTTTTAGTCTGAATGTCAAAAACAATCCTTTACTTGGCTTGTTGATAAAGATAAACCAAATGGATAGAAAGTCAGACAGACAGGCAGGCAGACATTGTCAAGTCAATAGAGATTTTACACACCTTTTTCCCCCCACTGTTACCACTGTGTGTTATTCACATTCTTCAAGTTGCTACTTTAAACTGCCTGTTGCTGAGCAAAGATTGAAACTAAAACAGATAAAGGGAACCTCCAAGTTCGACATTTGTTGTGTTTGCAAAAAGGCACAAAGTAATATATATGCAAACATACTAAATGTGATTTAGTCATTCAAATGAACAAAACATTTCAGCTACACTGATTACATAGAAAGGAAGTGTAAAACTAAAACTGAAGTATTTATGTAAAGATATCAAGATATGCACAAACCTGATTTTCCAGTTAGTTTCTTCGGTCATCGGTCGGTCTATATCCCACATTCGCAACAATATGGAGACAATTCTGCTGCTTTTTGTGCTTTTACTACCAGCAGCTGCTCCAAAGGGTAAGTTCTCAAATGACCGCAGCATAAAATGTATTATTGCCTTCTATATTTTTTATAAAGTTGTTTAGGAGTCAAATAAATAACCACAAAAACGGACTCTATTTCAGACTTTCTCGTATAAGGATGTTATGATAGGCCTATGTTATAAATCAATCAATCTTTTCATTTTGTATTTTGAAAATATACTATCAAGTCACATTGATAGTATGTGTACTCAAACACGAGAAAACAGACAAAATTTTTTAAAAATCGATTGAACATTATGCTTAATTTACTGGTCAAAACACAGTTCCATTGACTGTTTTGGTTGTTGTTTCTCACAGGTTCTCACTCGTTACAGTTACTTGCAACTTACATGAAAGGGCAGTCACTCTTTCCTGAATATAGTATCACATTTATGTTGGATGACATCATAATTGGATATTATAATTCAGAGACAAACCTCTACATTGTGAGAGGAAATACAACAGAAGAAGATGATAAATTCAATGAAAATTATCACAAGGTTATAAGTGAAGATATGTACAGGTTTATAAACCATAGACTGGAATTACAATTTGATAATCATACAAACAGTAAGTAGAGTGTTTTACAATCTATGTTGCAAAATATGTTACATTTGTTAATGTCTCAAAGTATTGATTAACTTTCCGCAAGAAGATAATGTTATGTCCCCACATCACAATAATATATATTCAGATTCAGTGGTTGTATATTAGCATTATAATATATTACATCAGATTACTTTAAGAGAAAAAAGCCAGTCTGGCGAAGTGAAGACTCACTTTCCTCCTCACTCACAGATCTTGAGGTTCATCAGACACTGGTTCACTGTGAGCTCTTGGACAATATGGAGTCAGGACAAATCACAGCCAAGGGTGCTACAGGAGGATCCACTGTAGTTGAGCTGCGATTTCTTAACAAGAAGGCAAATTTCAGTTCTTCGTTCAACACAGAGAAGGTCAAACCATTTGTAACATTTCTGAAAGATCATTATGAAGCAGTCTACTACTCACTTTGCATGAAAACTCTCAAGGCTAACTTTAAAATGAGAAGAAATCAAGTCAATAGAAAAGGTAAGTCAAAAGCATATTTTCATCAGCATTCTTATTCTACATATTTTGTTTAGTTGATTACTTACAATATCCCCAATGTTTCCAACTGTTTGTAAATCGTGAGAAAATTGCGATTTTAACCAAGGAAACTGGGCGTGTGAGCAAGGGGTGAGGAGTCGCCAGTCAATGGCGTCATATCCGCGTTACCTTCAGTTTCCGCTCGTACTGCCATAGTAACCATGGCGACAGACGGGGACATCTGGGTTATGCCTAGCAGGATGTTCACGCTGTTGTTGTTATGGACCATGGCAAGCAGACTTTTGAGACAAAAAGAGGACTAAAATGAAATTCCTACGCTATCTCACGACCAATTTGTACGAATTCGACGCATGATTAGAAAAGTGTCTAATTCGTACGAACTCACTCGTACGAATTTGTACGATTTGTCTAAACCCACGTTATGGTTAGGTTTAGGGGCGGGGAAAGATGTAGGTCGTTCGAACGAATTCATACGAATTGGCCAATTCGTAAAATATGTACGATTTAGCAAAATCGTACTAATTCGTATGAGTGAGGTCGTATGAATTAGTATGAATTAGCCACTTTTCAATCATGCGTCGAATTCGTACGATTTGGTCGTGAGATCGGGTTGTCAAAATCTTTCGAGATGCTGAGAGCTCCATGTCTGCGACTAACTTCAACATGAAAGAGACGCGAGTGTTGCATGTACTTTTTAGACAGGTGAGCAAATGTACATAAAACTAATAATCACTGTTATTAAGTTCAACATGATGAAATCTTAGAATATAACCTGTATGTTATTCTAATGTTGATATAGCTTACTGCTAGTCTCATACAACCTAACAACATTCAACACACTCAAATGTCGTTTAGTGTGATTGTGTAACGTTAACTGTTAGAGCAAGTGAAACAGCTCTGCGTTACCTCAAGTTTCATTTGTCTAATAAACTGACCAGTGTGAGTATTAATTCAGCACTTACGTGTAGTTCGGTGGATTCACGCATCCATAGATCCATCAGCTTGACGACAAGATCTATAATTCCGCTTAAAGGAGAAGTTCACTTTTAAAACAACTTTTGCAGATAATTTACTCACCCCCATGTCATCCAAGATGTCCATGTCTTTCTTTCTTTGGTCGAAAAGAAATTAAGGTTTTTGATGAAAACATTCCATGATTTTCTCCATATAATGGACTTAACTGGGCACCAAACGGTTCAAGGTCCAAATGAGAGTTTCAGTGCAGCTTCAAAGGGGCTTTAAACGATACCAAACTAAGAATAAGGGTCTTATCTGGCGAAACGATTGGTCCCAACCATTGGTCCCAACCAATCAGCTATTCCTCAGTTTCCAAATCCACCAGAACTCCCTTAGCCACATGTCATTGGCTCACATCCTTGGTCGCTCTCGGTCGATCTGTGGGGGTATAAAGCTATCTCTCAGTGCTAAAAGGTGGTGGTGAGCTGGGCTCTGGTTGTGTCCTGGATTTGGGACAGACACTTTCCAAACACCTGATGATGGCCTCCCTCCAGTTTAATTAGTATAGAGTAAAGAGATTTGAGAGTCTCGTCGTCGAAGGGTGCAGTGCCGGTGATGGTAAGACGATAACTGCTCAGTGAATGTCAATAACCAAAATACTTTTGGTTTTGTCTTCCATGTACCTCTACAGAAGTTTACTCCTTGCATTCCAAACCCTGACATGCATCACGTTTCCAGGAGTGCATTTATCCTTCTTTACTTTCTTCCACAGTGAAACCCAGAGTCAGACTTATTCAGAAAGCAAACTCAGATTCTGGAGGGTTTCGTGTGAGTTGTTTGGCAACAGGATTTTACCCTCGTCACATCAACCTGACCCTGTTCAGAGATGGACAGCCTGTACCTGATCATGAGATCACTGGAGGAGATCTGCTGCCCAATGGTGACGGGACGTACCAGATGAGGAAGAGTCTGGAGATCAGTGCAGACAAACACAGATACAGCTGCTCTGCCACACACCTCAGTCTGGACAACAAACTGGACATTGAGTTGGGTAATAAGTGCTCATGAGACCAGTGCACATATATCTTATAAATGAATGTCTTTGTGACCTTATTTGTCACATTTCAGAATATCCAGGGGTAACGTTTGAGTCAGTGCCTTCTTCTGTGCTTGTGGTTTGGATACTGGTGATGGTGTTATTGACAGTGGCTGTCATTATATGGATCATTTTATGGAGAAAATGGCATTCAGGTAATACAAGAAACTGTAAAACAAGACAATTAGGGATAGTTAATATGACATAGACCATTTTGTATTATTATTATTATGTTATTATTATTTTTTTAAATAATTAATGTCTGTTTCTTAATTTCCTATGTTTTTTTTTAAACTTCCTCTAAAGGTGACTACTCGTCTACTTCTAGTGAGTATTGTCATGTTCATTTTTCATGTTGTGACCCCTGGTCATACTTTAATTTGAATTTACATTAACATTAAATCAACTGTCATTTTGATTGAAATGAATATTTCCTAACTATTTGAACTTCCTTTTCAGCAACGGCAGATTCATAAGGTTTATAGGTAAAATAACATGATTGGCTTAAGAAAGATATAACATGCTTGTGTGTTTTTGCGATAATTAATTTTACACAACGTGAAATTATGCAAACTTGGATCTTTGTAACTACTAAAATATTGTTAAAAGCTCTTACATTTATTGTGTAATGTGTACACTCTAAAAAAAATGCTGGGTTGTTTTAACTCAATTTTGGGTCAAATATGGACAAACCCAGCCGTTGGGTTACATTTTTAAATTGCATTTTTAATCCAACGTTTGGGTTTGTCCATATTTGATCCAAAACTGATTTAAAACAACCCAGCATTTTTTAAGATTAATAAAAGCTTTGTTCTATGTCAGTCCATGTTAACTAACTAATATTAATAAATGAAACCTTATTGTAACATTTTACCAACTTTCTGTAACATAAACACTATAAAAAATGCCGGGTTGTTTTAACCCAATTTTGGGTCAAATATGGACAAATTCAAACATTGGGTTAAAAAATTTAGCCCAATGGCTGGGTTTGTCCATATTTGACCCAAAATTGGGTTAAAACAACCCAGCATTTTTTAGAGTGTAGAATTCGCTTCTGTTTAATACTCCTGTTTTTACAATTTAAACTGTTAATGTCTATTTTATTTTCTCATTTTACATTACTTTATATTTTGTAGCTCATTTTTGTGCTACTTCAGTCATTGAAATGTACACTCTAAAAATGATGGGTTGTTTTAAGCCAACTTTGGGTCAAATATGGCAAACCCAAATGTTGGGTTAAAAATGTAATAACCCAATGGCTGGGTTTGTCCATATTTGGCCCAAAGTTGGCTTAAAACAACCCAGCAATTTTTAGAGTGTATTTTTGCTGTCCTAATACGCCAATGCAACTATACACACTCTAAAAAATGCTGGGTTGTTTTAACCCAATTTTGGGTCAAATATGGACAAACCCGAAATGTTGGGTTAAAAATGTAATGTAAAAATTTAACCCAACGGCTGGGTTAGTCCATATTTGACCCAAAGTTGGGTTAAAACAACCCAGCATTTTTTAGAGTGCAGTAACCTATATATACACTTTTCCTTTTAATTTAATGGCCCGTTAAGATGATTGGATTATTGTGAAAAGTAAAAATAGTAACAATAACGCAGTACATATACACTCTAAAAAAATGCTGGCTTGTTTTAACCCAATGTTGGGTCAAATATGGACAAACCCAGCTGTTGGGTTAAATGTATACATTGCATTTTTTTAATCCATATTTGACCCAAAATTGGGTTAAAACAACCCAGCATTTTTTTGAGTCTCGTGATGACAAACAACATTTTTTTTTACATTCCGTACATCTCATTGCTTTTGAAAAGAAAATAATTTTAAACATAATTATGCCATTCATTAGAATTCACTGTAAAAAGATTATTGTTATATATTTTACAAGATAATACTATTTCAGTTTTTCTATTGATTCCAATGTGTCACTTGTTTCTTTGTATTATTAGTGAAATTTACTAGCAAATTCTGAAATGGTTTCAATGTAAATCCTATACATCCTTTTTCACGGTTTCTCAAGGTTATTTAATCTCAAATATATTTTTATATTTGTGCTCACTAAAATAATTTTATTAGCAATGTTTAAATAGTGTTTTCAAAAACGTGTGAGGAAAAAAAAAACTAAAGAAAATGCAAAAAATGTGTAATATTTTAAAGCATTTAATTAAACAATACAATAAATAAGCAATATATACAAATGTATTCAATACAAAAATATGTTATCTGATAAATAAGTACAAATAATCAATGCAACAAACAAATAAAGTCTTTAGATAAAGTTTTCACTTGTCGTGTTTTTGACATCTCTCCGTGTTCTTCATTGAAAAAACAGATGGCTGTATGTAGCATCGTGTGTTGTTGCACAGGGAAACTGTTAAAAGAAGAAAAAGTGAATTAAATCACTGTGCAAACCAACAAATATAACTCTTAATCATTATTAAATAAACATTCAGTATCAGTGTTCAGTATCAAGAAAAGCCTCCTTACCATATATGAAGTAGAAGGAATGTTGTTTTCCATCTGTTGAGTTGAATCACTGAAGGCTGTGAATGTTGGACAGTTCTGGACATTGTCTTGCATGAGTTCCTCTGGCCCATCCAGACACCAGGCCTCAGTCTGAAGCCTCTCTGAAGAGAAGCATCTTGATGATGTTTCATGACTGGAAGTCTCAGACTGTTCCAGCTGAGCAGAAAGATACGAGATGTAGCTAATAGTGAGGCGAAGGGTCTCAATCTTGGTCAAGGTTTGTCCAGGAGGAGCCACAGAAGGAGGTAGGTAGTTTCGGAGATGATGGAGAGCTTTGGTCAGATCCCTCATCCTGAGCTTCTCTCTTTCGCTGGCCGTCTGACGCTTCGTTCCGGGGTTTTTGGACCTGGAACGTCTCTTTCCCTCAGCAGGAAGAATGGTTCTGGGTTTCAAAGCTGGTATGCAGTCGATGTTGGGTTCCCCTGCAGCCTCCGGATGTCTTCCAGCTCCCCAACGGCTCACGGGAGGAGAAAAACACCCAGAATCAATGGAGGAGCTCGGAGAAAGACTTCCACAGGCACTGAAGTACCCAGCATCAACGCTGGTAGGTGATCGCTTGTATTCAAACTGGCATGCGGCTCCCTGGAGCATATACGGAGAGAAGTTAAACTCCATGGTTGTGATCTTTCAGCTGAGGAGATGTTTCCTTCTCGTTCTCTGGTACCTGAGTGAATGCTAAAGAGCTGGAGGCAGAAGCCCAATATATCCAGGATGAAGAGGTGTGATGTTGCACCTCCACAAGGCGCTTGAGAATTTCAAAGCGGCAGAGAGACGTCACACCAGGGGCAGGGGGTCTCTGGGAAAACTCACATCACTGCAAGCACAGGTGGGAGGTGCTGAATGCGGTGGTAAAATAACATTCATCGGTGCAGGACAAGTTCAAGATACATTTCGATTTAAAGTCTGGAGGTATTTTATTTATTTATTTAAGTTAATATGTCACTCACATCACTAAAAATCAATCATATTAAATAAATTCATTTTTAGTTATTGTGTTTTAATGCCTTTCAAATTCATGTTACATGTCGGATCAAATTATAGGCATTCTTATTGTATTTTATTGTTTTATTTCCATTAAATTTTCACCCAGTCCCTATTTAATGGATATTCTATTGACATAATGTTTTTTATATTATTCAACCTGTTTATTTTTTATCCCCTAAACCTATATCACTGAAAACTTATCAATAAATTTAATAAACTGTTTTCTTAACGGGGACCAAAACACGTCCCCGCAAGGACAAGGGTTTCGAATATTGCTATAGACATTTTGTCCCCATAATGTAGGGAACACCTAAACCAAACACACACACAAACTTTCAGCATTTTTAACATTTTTCTAAAAACAAAAAATAAATAAATACAATACTGGTATTACTATGGGGATATTTGGTTCCTCACTGTAAAAATAAAAATAAAACATTTGTATGATTTGTAATCACAACGGTTTTTCTTTTGTCAAATCAACTTAAATAATTGATGTAGCTCAGAAAACATAATATTTTGAGTTTCTGGTGATTAAATCAATCTCCTTCATTGTATTAACTCAATTTTTCCATTTCAACGAACTTAAAATTTTAAGGCAACCAGGTTTCTTCATTTTTTAAGTTAAACCAACTATATTTTTTTTTACAGTGTAACTTACATAATAGAAAATTGTTTCAACCAATAGCAGGAGCACATTTATTTATGCATCCATTCTTTTGCATTAATTTTATAAAGTTAACAAATTGAAAAGTCTTATGTTGTTCTTTTATAAAATACTTGCTCTCTCAGAGTATCACATTTTTCGTGAAGTGTGTAGCCTGTCATGTGTCAGTTGTTCACAGGTTTTTGTTTAGACAACTGACTTTTAGCTTTAATGACCTCACAACTCAGGAAGGACATTATTTTTATTATACGGGGCATATTTTAAATGGTTGATTTTTAAAACAGTTTTACTCAACTCATGTAAAATACATAAAGAAAATAATAAATGTTACTCTGAATTATACAATAGCCTACATAAGTTTTATTTTTTTATTTTATTAAAAAACAACTTAAAAACTCAAATGACGATATAATTAAAAAGCAACTAGTGCAAAATCGCAGTTTATGAGAATTGAAGCAAGATGAAATATTGCTGGTTGTATATGCAGTTGTCGTTCTCTTCTGTGAGGTGTAAGATGAGCTCGTCCTCAGGCCTGGGCTTGTGGATTACAGCTTCAGTGTGAGTAGCTCTGAGGAAATGGTTCCCAGACCACAACGTGTCACTTTTTGCTCCTTCTTGCCCTGTGCTGACCTCAAATAATTTGATTTGGACTGTTCCCAGACTGAGACAACATCAGAAGAAATGGCATGTTACACTGCTGATGATATTCAATTCTGAACATTCAATGTTCAACTGATATAAAGGTCAGCATTTAACAGCCTATTAAAAATAAAAATAGCAAACTCACACAACGCCGAACTAACAGCAAACGCAAACATCCAAAAACTCAAATTGTGCGCTCAACTCATTAAACATGTCACCGTTCACCGTTAATTCACCGAAATGTTGATTTAAAGTCTCAGACCTCCCTGCAAATGAGTTGAGTTCTCCCTTTTCAAAGCGTCTTAGTTTTTCCAAAAGCATCAAAGGTCGATTAGCACATCAATGTGAAGTGTTTTTCTTATCCTGCTCAGTTAAATGTTGATTTGAGGTAAACAACTAAATTGTCTAAATCCTTTCCTCCCAGTGCTCTGTAAACTGTGTATTGAGCTCAACATTTGCATATCAGTCACAGGGTCAAGGGTATGTAAAGCAGAGTCCTAGTTCTAATTACCTCAGTATCTCACACCTCGGGACGGTCCTGCAACCAAAGCAGCGGCCCGACCCCTCTCGCATTAGAGGATCATGAAGATAAGGATGCATGAAGTTCAGGCTTTTGAAGCCGGGATCATCCACTCCAGACTTAGAGGTGTGAGATGCTCTTTTTTGTTGACCTGTAGTTCATTAAGAAAGAGATTCTGTTTGCACAGGACTGATTAGTACTTAGCTGACGGCTGGAAAGGCTTTGGGAAAATCATGTTATTTCTTTTGTTTCATTTGAATAGAGTTTAACTAGAATTAAATAGAATTCATTTAGTTTAAAACTAGATTAGAGTATTCAAATATTTAAAAGAATATTGGCTAATTATTTGATCTGGCTATTAGCAGAGAGATATTTCAATTAAAGGGATAGATCATCCAAAAAATAAAAAATTCTGAAAACCCTCAAGTTGTTCTAAACTTGTGTGAGTTTCTTTGTTTTGATGAACAGAAAAAAAGATATTTTGAAGAATGTTGGTAACCAGGCAGCTGCTGTTCCCAATTGGCTTATAGCATAAAAAAACAAAAAAACAAAAAAAAAACAATGAAACTCTAGAATTTAGAAGAAACACAGATTTAGAACAAAAAGACTATCCTTAACTCTCCTCCCTTTAAAGGGATTCTCCAACGTTTTTTCGTATTAAACTATGTTATTCCCTTATCTAAGACGAGTTGATACATATGTCACTCTGGCGCGCAATACATATTGATAGCACTTAACTAGCCCAGTTCATTCAATAGAAGCGACCAAACACCTCCACGTTTTCCCTAGTTAAAAACAGATACTCGAGCAGTGTAACTCGACCTAGAACGGTGACACAAAATAAAACGTTGCGCTTTTCTAAGCGTGTAAATTCGATAACTATATCGTATGGCGGAATACCACAGCAAGTGCTTGGGAGTAACAGCCACCGCTGTTATCGATCAGTTTATAATCCTACCCACTTTAAAGCGGTACTAACTGCAGTGGAAAAGCAACCGAGCTAAAAGTGAACAGAGCCGTGCCGTCACCGTGTCTAGCCGTGTCGTACCACACAGTGGAAAAGCGAAGCGAGACGAACCGTACTGAGCCGTATCAGCAGTGGAAAAGCGCAATTAGATGACAGTGGTGTGTATCAACTCGTCTTAGTTAAAGGAATACCATAGTTTAATATGAAAAAACGGTGGAGTATCCCTTTAAGCAACTTCTGTCTTATTTAGTCCGACCACCAGAGGGCCTCGATGGGGATTTTTTTTAAGCCAAAGTAAAATAATAATGTAAAAGAAATTTGTAAATGTAATTTTAAAAATGCATAAAATATGTAAATTACAATTTTAAATGTCTTTCTTAATATAAAAATGTTTAAGTATCTTTTTAGGGAGTTTTTCTGGCCATTGTTGTCTTTAGCTTATCAATATGGCACTATTTCCTGTGAAGCTGCTTTGAAATAAAATGTGTTTTGGCTTTTTAATAACAAATAAAAGTAAATTATATAATTATCACTCTTAATATATTGATATTAATATAATTTTCTCACAATTTTTCTACATGAACACATATAGCTGCCTTGATGGGATTTAACCATCAAAAAAGGATCATAATATTTAAACTTTGACTTTTATTTAATTATTTATTTAGATGGGTTTTAACTGCATATTAAATTTGCTTTATCTGCTGCCCCTACATGTGAATACTGGCTGCAAAAGCCCATTATCATGATTTGGGGTGTAATTTAAATGTTAATGACTATTAAGGTGAGACTCAAAGCTGGTGCCTGTCAGTAGGGCCTTTTTTTTTTTTTTGGATTTCTTCAAATCTCTCACGTGGCCTCATGGGATAGTAGTGTCAATCGTATCCACACTTCAGAATCTCGGCGAAAGTAGTATCATCCGAATACTTTAGCTTGGCCTACTTTCTTTTTTTCTTTTTCTTTTTTATTGGAGTAGGCTACTGTGAATTCAGAATTAATTTGTTATGTGTGTGTATGTGACTTCGAATGAAATGAGGAGGAATCGTGAAAAAAAAAAAAAAAAACATTGCTGGCTTGTGGCTGTAAAATTGCGCCATCTTATGGAGACATTAGACATTTCATCACAACAAAACAACCAACTGCAGAATACATCACAGCAGTTTCAGGACAGCAGCGACACCCAGCAGTCTCAGACCAGAAATTGGGGTGAATATTATGTTATATTATATTATTAATTTTAGTTTTAGTGGTGGGTTAGGTTGGGCATGCACTATATAATAACTTCACTTATAAATAGTGAAGTTAGGGTTTGTGTTTGGGCCCGGTTAGTCAAACGTCAGACATCCTAACTTCCGGTCCGAGGTGAGGCGGTGAGACTTGTTTTCAATGGCATTCGCTATAAATCTCCTATATTACTTATATTTTCCCACAATATGTTGTCTGGAGTTGTTTTTTGTCAGCTAAAATGTATTGGAAAGAGATTGTATTGCAGTGTCTCATCAGCATAACAATGTAAAAACACAGTAAGCTACAACGTGTTAAATAACAGTACAACGCACTGAAGTGATGTGTGTATCAAAGATAGCGCTGCTGTGAATAAGGTCTATAGTGCTGAACAGGGAGCCTGGAATAGGTTTGAAAACATATTCAAATCGATAGGCTAATTATTACAGTGAATGGTAAAAATGTTATTTTAAATACAACAATAGGCTACATTTTAAGTGTTTAAATAGGCCAAATATGAACTGCAAAAATGCTAAAAGTTGATTTTAAAAAGTCAAAACCTTTTTCATTATTATTTATTAATAATTCAACAAAATCTTGAAGTAAAAAGTTAATTTCATTTTTCATTTCAAATTAATACACAAAATCAAAACGTTGACATTTAGATACTTTTTATTATTATAAATAGCAATAAATTAGTACTTCTGTACAAAAAAACGATAACATACAAAATATATAATATTAAAATAGACATCTTAAAATAAGATAAAACAATATATTAAAAATACATTAAATACTATACAGCACAGTCCATAAAAGTTTGAAATATGTGAAAAAAGTCCAATGAGAGTTTCATCCCCAGAATTGCGGAGCAACCGGATAGTGCACGGCTTTGTTGTAGCCCTAAAAGGAGAGGACAAAAGATGGTAAGTATTTTATACAGCATTTAGAAAGCAAAATAGTCAATTAATAATAAATCAGACAATAAACAAAGTACACACCTGGTATGCTGTGGCTGTATCTGCATACAAAGGGCTGGCCAGAAGAGATTCTGAGCTGGAGTTGAAGGAATCATCATAAGCAGGTGTTTCCATGACCATCTCTGTCTGCCTCAAGGCATGCTCTGAAGGTTTGAAGGTGCTTTGACACAGTTCTTGATGTGATGTGCTGATTCCCCAATACTCTGGGGTTGAATTGCCCTGACATTGAGACGGTTCTTGGTATCTAGAAGCTCCAAGGTCCCTCATCTGGCAGAGAGACTCTTCGCTGAAGCCTAGTTGAGCAGACAGATAAGAGATGTAGCGGATGGTGAGGCGAAGGGTCTCGATCTTCGTCAAGGTTTGACCGACAGGAGCCACTGAAGGAGGTAAGTAAGTCCTGAGGTGATTGAGAGCTTTGGTCAAGTCCCTCATTCTGAGCTTCTCTTTCTCGCTGGCACTCTGCCTTTGCTTGCTCGGGTTCTTGGAGCGCGTTCTTCTTGTTCCGACACGGGAACATGCGCCGTCCTGATGTAATGAACCCGAAACGGGTGCTTTGGCACCTCGTGAAGTTGGAGAAGAACTGTTTTGAAGCTGGGCTGAAGGAGAGAAGTCCATGTAGGAGGTAGGAGACACTGCTTCAGGAGATGAGATGTTGTAGACCTCAGAGTCTGAGCTCGGGCAGCTCCAGGAGTTCTGTGTGAAGTAGTGGAGGAGTGGAGAAGACACGTCCATGCTGTGTGGTTAGAGAGGGTCAGTGATGCTGGAGGGTTTGCTGGAGGGAGGATTTATACTAGCCTCAGGCCTGAGAGGTGTGAAGTGACACCTCCA